ATGCAATGGACTAAGACCAAGGTGGAGTCAAAGTCTGAGGTAGGGACTATGACAGAGGCTCGGAGCAAAGGTATGAGCAGTGCCCGAGTACGAAGTACGGGACAGTGGTGGAAGGTCGTAACTTGGCAGGAGGTTGGTGGAAGAGTACCAGAGGGAAGAGAGAGGAGAAAGGGAAGAGGGAAGGAGTGGTGGAAAGGAGAGTTGTCAGGTCCGAAGGTGAGTATCGGAGTGGATGGGAGAAGTGTAGGAGGATGATGGAAGGATGGAGGTGTTGTGAGGGAGGAGCAGAGGAGTAGGAGGAGGAGTAGTAGGAGGGTGGCAGGGGGGCAGTGTTCGGTCTGAGGTGAGTATCAGAGCGGACGGAGATAGGGGAGGAGAGGGAAGGAGGAGTGGAGGTGGCATGGGAGGTAAGAGGAGGTGTGGTGCCAGGACCGAAGGTGAATATCAGAACGGACAGCGGTAGGACTCCGGTCGGGATCGGGTATGCATGGATATGACATCTGCGTTGTTTGTCTGGGAGGCTGGACCACATTGTTTGCATGGTGAGCTGTCTTCTGGCACTTCTGCTGCACCGGTAACACGGTGCTGAGAATGGAAAAGAAATTATAGCGTAAAAAAGTGAAAGGGATCTTACTTGTTTTGGGGACAGTACGTTCCGTTCCCCCATTTGCCTCAGGCCTCAGTTGGTCTGTCTAAGTATACGCTTTGATGGGCTGTATATTAACAGGGTAGAAGTAAAGGCTGATCTGCCTTTTACAGCTACCCCGAGGGTTTATATACATTCTAATGCATTCTCAGCACAAATAAATAGAGAAGCTTCCACGACGCTAAATTAGCGTCACGACATAATTATTAGACAACACAACATCAACTGATGTTGTGGGCAGAATATAGACATGGGCCGGGGCCTCACAGTCAGGGTGTGCCCTGACAATTCAGCTGATAAGGGGGCATCATGGAAGCCCTTTTTATAAACACAGCCTGAATCATTGTAAGCATTCTCATGATGAGTGAAGTTCAGTACATACTGTACGCACATGACCAACTACCAGCATGTCCCAAGTGTGACACAAAAAATTCCAACCAGCACCCCATTTTAATGTGTGACACTGAACCGGCAGAGGCATGACTCGAAAGGAAAGTGTCATATCCATACAATCCCGACCTCCGCTCCAGGCTCCTGGAACTCCGAACTCCAACTTCCAGAGCCCTACTTCCCTTCCGTCACTTTCTCCTTGCCGACTCCCAAGAGGTTATCCCACCTCCGGCTCGGACACCACCTTCGGTCCGACTCCGGAACATTCCGGGTCCGACCCCAACCTCGACACCTTCCAGACGAGTATGCAAAACCTATGCTCCCGACTCCGGACCTCCACTCCAGAATCCCATTCGTGTCTCCGTCTCCGGAACCTCCGGTCTTAGCTCCGACCTCGGACTTTGACCCCACCTCCACTTATACCCATTGTATTGGTTAGCTCATTCCATTTAATTACCTTTGCCAATATTCCGGAGTTTAACCTCCGAGTTCGGACTTTCCGGACTTACTCCGGACCTTGCAACTATTGCATTGTCCATTTCAATTCCACTATTTTCCCTCATTCCTATTTGGGCTGCTGCTTCCTTCTATTCAGTCAGCTAGCCATTCCCGACTCCCATCCTCCTTCCTTCCTCCTTGGGCCTTGGCCCTTCATTCCTCCTTTGAGAAACACCATTGAGTCATACCCTTGACCCTCGGTGTTGTTCCCCTTTCCATCTCCCTTTGTCTCCTTTTGTCCTACCCTTGTTCCTTTTGATTCCGGACCCCTCCTTATATACAATGTACCTAGTAACTTGTAACCTCAGTCCGAAATCGACATGAATTCCCCCCAAGAGACTTTCCCCCTGCTAGATCCGAAATTAGGGACCCCTAGGACAACCAGCAATGGCACAGCACTCCGCTTGAGTCGCTGAGGCCAAGGTCCCTCCATGCTAAGTCTCCGATTCCACTCCGGAGTCGTCTGTTTCCGCCCAATTCTAACACGCTGGCACAGAGCGAGTATTTGGTTGGGATGAGATGGTGCATTAGTGCATTGAGGGCAAAGAAGCTGCATGAGGAAGAGTCATTTTGGTGAGCAATCGGTAGCCATGCGATTCGAAATGTCGGCATTGACTTGTTCAATCCAGAGTAGGACTCATTGAGCCACCATTGAAGAGTACTGATCGCTGCAACTGGTAAGCCACTGTCTCCCATTTTCCAGTGTAAAGAATCAGCAAGGTAAATTGTTGATTCCATAGGGGAAATTAGGAATGCAGTCCAGTGGTTGTTATTGATGTGCATGATTCCACCAAATCGGGATGCAGATCCAGATGAGAGCTCTGAACCCAATTGGCAGAGATTGTTACAGGTACGATTGCACCCATAGCTTACTGAGCCATTCCCATCTGCTTGTGTTGCACATCCAGTTAGGTACTGAATATCGAGGGGGCTCAAAAGCCTGGCCCTTATGTTGCTGGCCTCTAAGGCTTTTGCCAGAAGCTCCGTGTGGTATGAGATGTCGGTCATCACAAGGCAAGAGAAAGTGAGGTGACACATCAGCCCCCCAACAGTACTCAATGCTGATTTTGAAAATCCAAGCACTTTTGTGTTCCAGTTGCATGATAGGAGCTGCTTTTGAGCAGCTGTGATAGTGACACGGTGAGCAGAGTGATTGTCTGCCCAGGTCTTAACTAATCCCTCTGATTCTTTCCAGAACCTCTGGACATTCTGTACCTGGAGTAGGACTTCCCTGTCAGGGCTCGGTCCCCGATCAGGGACAGCCCGACCTCAGGCCTGGGTGTGCATGGTGTTCCGGGTGGTTGGGCACTAGACCCTGTCCTCAGCTCCTCAAACTCACTGAAGGGACTAAGTGGGGATTGAGTTGTCATGTATTACAGAGGGTAACTACAACTTGCCTAAGTGGGGATTGAGTTGAGAAGAAGGGTAAGTTTCCCTATTCCCCACTTGGCTACTATAAAAGGGAAGTGTACTGTACAGTTCCTAACGTGACTCCGGGTAGAAGCCAAGCATGTTCCCATGACTCGGAAAAGGTGTCACATGGGTTAAGGCGAGTTGCTCACCTTGACCCACGTGACTTTTCCCACAGGCTCGCATGCGGGCTGAAGTTGTGAGGGATATGTAGGGATGGGGAGGTCTGGGAAGGTGGTTCTGGGGTGTGGTTGGGTGCCCTGACAGCAGGGTCAGGGGCCGATCCCTGACATTCCCAGACTCGGAGAATATTGATAGGGATGTAACGTATGCCGATTTTAACAGAATGAGGGGGGTTGGCATGGTCAGGATCATATTCGGAAATTAACGCTTTCATTGCTGGGCAGGGAGGGCAAGGCATGTTCTGGAGTTCATTTTTGGATAATTCTTTGGCAGATGGCAGGCAATGACTGAGACATGCTGATGTAGTCTCTAACTTTGTTTGGAATGATGGGAGCTTAAACCGGAGAAACTCAATGATGGTCAGGGTTTCATTAGGAAAATAGGGCCCAATGAGAGCTTTTGGGACACCATCATATGAGATAGGCTCATCTGTGCAAGAGCAGATGCGGCATGCTAGAGCAAAACCATCCATGTGTGATACTGGGGTGCAAGAAAATTTTTACGGGGACAGCAAATGTTAGAATGGGCGGAAACAGACGACTCCGGAGTGGAATCGGAGACTTAGTGTGGAAGGACCTTGGCCTCAGCGACTCAGGCAGAGCGCTGTGCCATTGCTGGTTGTCCTAGGGGTCCCTAATTTCGGATCTAGCAGAGGGAAAGTCTCTTGGGGGGAATTCATGTCGATTTCGGACTGAACCAAAACGAGTATGTACAAGCGCCGATATATATAATGGAGGGGGCAAAAGCACAAGGAAACAAAGGGGGACCAAATCGGAACGAAGACATCCGAACGGGAACAAAGGGTAGAAGAAGCGGAGTGGTACCGAAGGTCATAAGGCAGGACCTGTGATACGTCTGAAAGGAGGTAGGGAGGGTGAGGCCCAGAGGGGCAGGAGGATGAGGAGAAGTGGGGATGATGACTAACTGGCTAGAATGGGAAGAAGCAGTAGTCCAAATAGGGATGAGGGGTAAACGCGAGAGATACATTACAAGCGGCGAAAGTGCCGAAGGCGATCCGTGAAGCTCGGGGGTTGCGGAGGTTACGGAGGTTACGGAGGCGGGGTTGAAAGTCTGAGGGATATTGGCAATGGCGTTTACGTAGTATGAGGTCACCAATGCAATGGACTAAGACCAAGGTGGAGTCAAAGTCCGAGGTAGGGACTATGACGGAGGCTCGGAGCAAAGGTACGAGCGGTGTCCGAGTATGAAGTACGGGACAGCGGTGGAAGGTCGTAACTTGGCGGAAGGGTGGCAGAGGAGTACCAGAGGGAGGAGAGAGGGGAAGGAGTGGTGGAAAGGAGGGTTGTCCGGTCCAAAGGTGAGTATCGGAGTGGACGGGGGAAGCGTAGGAGGATGACGGGAGGGTGGAGGTGTTGTGAAGGGGGAGCGGAGTAGGAGTAGGAGGAGTAGTAGGAGGGTGGCGAGAGGGGCGGTGTTCGGTCCGAGGTGAGTATCGGAGCGGACGGAGATAGGGTCAGAGAGTTAAGGAGGAGTAGAGGTGGCGTGGGGGGTAGAAGGAGGTGTGTAGCCAGGACCGAAGGTGAGTATTGGAACGGCAGCGGTAGGTTATGACTCCGGAGGTGAAGAGGGTGGAGGTCCGGAAGTCAGGTCGGGGTCGGGTATGCATGGATATGACACCCAAGGAGGAAGGAAGGAGGATGGGAGTCGGGAATGGCTAGCTGACTGAATAGAAGGAAGCAGCAGCCCAAATAGGAATGAGGGAGAATAGCGGAATTGAAATGGACAATGCAATAGTTGCAAGGTCCGGAGTAAGTCCGGAAAGTCCGAACTCGGAGGTTAAACTCCGGAATATTGGCAAAGGTAATTAAATGGAATGAGCTAACCAATACAATGGGTATAAGCGGAGGTGGGGTCAAAGTCCGAGGTCGGAGCTAAGACCAGAGGTTCCAGAGACGGAGATGCGAATGGGATTCCGGAGCGGAGGTCCGGAGTTGGGAGCATAGGTTTTGCATACTCGTCTGGAAGGTGTCGAGGTTGGGGTCGGACCCAGAATGTTCCAGAGTCGGACCGAAGGTGGTGTCTGAGCTGGAGGTGGGATAACCTCTTGGGAGTCGGCAAGGAGAAAGTGAAGTAGGGTGCCGGAAGTTGGAGTTTGGAGTTCCAGGAGCCTGGAGCAGAGGTCGGGATTGTATGGATATGACACAGCGACGACATTGCAATGTTGCGTGTCAAATTTTTGATGGCAATCGATCATCATGTTGCACAGGTAAGTGGCTGAGCGTAACTGATAAAATGGGGACTCACCACTCTATGATAAGGCAATACCTATCCCAGAAGCGACTGCCACTGCAGCAACACCAACAGCCTCAACAATGAAACCCACAGTAATGCCACTCCATGCAACAACGATATTCACGGAAGAGGCGGCCACACCAGCAGGGACAGTCCCACTCACAGTCGCTAAGCATTCAACAAGGCCAGCTCCAGTACCAATGTTGGTCCAAGCGATGAACGGGCCAACATCGAGAATGAGCCCAAGAGCAGTGGAGTCGACCATCCCTGCAACCTCACCAAGTAACCTGGCCCTGATGAACACCTCACCCAATTCTGACGTCAATGAAATGGAGGGGGAATTTGTCCAGGAGAAGGAAGAGGGCTGTGGGTTGATGCAATTCTTCAGCCACATCAGTCGTGAAGAATTTGATCAGCAAACATCGATCGGATTTGAGAAAATTGCTGAGAGACATCAAGAATGGCAGATGGAAGGGGAACTGGCAGCAAGAGAGAAACTGGAGAGGAGCCAAGCTAATGCACGAGAACGGCAGCAGCATCACCGAGCAGCATTGGCAGAAGGAAGCGGTAATGCAATAAAAAAAGATGAAGGAAGTTGATTTGTCAAGATTGTAGCACCTTCTAATGGGACAAATTCTAGCACTTGCTTGATGTGGATGTGGACACCAAGACTTCAAGCAGCTTGGTTATGATCGCGGAGTTGTCACGGCCAAAGCGTCACATTCAGGGATGGTTAAGGGCGAAACCCCATTTGGCAATGTGCATGTCGTCGGCCCCTGACAATGTGCGAGTTCAATCAAGTTCTCATGCAAACTTGTTGAAGGAAATGACACATCTTCTTGATGTCGTGGAGATACAACACCAGGAGCATGTCCAATGCTCCCACCAACATGGCCGGCCCCTCCACTGGCCATAGGGCAGAAGACAACACCACCTCAAGTGATGGTGGTGATCTGGGCCTGCGATGCATCTCACCTATATGAGGGACGTTGACCAAGTCACAACGTCTGAAGCCCTTGCAGCTGAGACTCTCGTGGCATACATCCCAATGCGCGCGTCGCATCCTCCATGCCCAACCCACTCCCATCTGAAACGGTGTGAGTACTAAGAAATTGTGTCGATCAAGTTGACGATGACATCGCTGACTTGAGGGGTGATGTCCATAACATGAATACCCAAATCTCTGGGAATAGCGATAATATCGCTCATTTAGATCATAACATCATTAAGGTGGAAGAAAGACTAAACGAGAAATTAAATGAAATTCTCCTCGCACTCTCTCAATGCGACGAGCCAAAGCCACCTGCAGCAATGGTGGATAACCCTCTTGCAAACCCTCCTACAAACCCATCGACTGACTGGTGGGGATCCTATCATCGTCTCTGAGCAGACGAAAAGAACCCCTGTTGAGGCGCAAGCACCCCAAGAGGTCCCTGTAGTTCCTGTTAATCAAACAGAGCAAACAATCATTAAACCCACTGTTGAGGCACAAGCACCCCAAGAGGTCCCTGTAGTCCCCATTAACCAAACGGGTCAACCAATCATTGGGGTCTGTTAGAATGGGCGGATTCAGACGACTCCGGAGTGGCACTGGAGACTTAGCGTGGAAGGACCTCAGCCTCAGCGACTCAGGTGGAGCGCTGTGCCATTGCTGATTGTCCTGGGGGTCCCTAATTTCAGATCTAGCAGAGGGAAAGTCTCTAGGGGGCATTTCAAGTCGATTTCGGACTGAGGTTACAATATATAAGGAGGGGTCCGGAATCAAAAGGAGCGAGGGTACTCTGAAAGGAGACAAAGGGAGCTGGAAAGAGGAACAACACCGAGGGTCAAGGGTTTGACTCAATGGTGTTTCCCAAAGGAGGAGTGAAGGGCCAAGGCCCAAGGAGGAAGGAAGGAGGTTGGGAGTGGGGAATGGCTAGCTGACTGAATAGAAAGGAAGCAGTAGCCCAAATAGGAATGAGGGAGAATAGCGGAACTGAATGGAGCAATGCAATAGTTGCAAGGTCCGACATAAGTCCAGAAAGTCCGAACTCGGAAGTTAAACTCCGGAATATTGGCAAAGGTAATTAAATGGAATGAGCTAACCAATACAATGGGTATAAGCGGAGGTGGGGTCAAAGTCCGAGGTCGGAGCTAAGACCGGAGGTTCCGGAGATGGAGATGCGAATGGGAATCCGGAGCAGAGGCCTGGAGTCGGGAGCATAGGTGTTGCATACTTGTCTGGAAGGTGTTGAGGTTGGGGTCGGACCCGGAATGTTCCGGAGTCAGACCAAAGGGTGTGTCAGAGCCGGAGGTGGGATAACCTCTTGGGAGTCGGCCAGGAGAAGGTGACAGAAGGGTAGTAGGACTCTGGAAGTCTGGTTCAGAGTTCCGGGAGCCCAGAGCGGAGGTTGGGATTGTACAGATATGACAGGGTCCCAGTACCTGAAGGGATCCCCACTGTCACTGCCATCGTCACAGAGGCAGCAAGTTCATGCCCATCCATTGAGGTACAAGAACCTGATGGACAATTTGTTCCCATCTTTAGTGGAACTAAGCCACCTACCCCGTCGACGATGCCAGTAACCACTGACACCAAGGGGAAAGGTAGGGAGATTGACCCAGGACAACTGGCTGGATTGTTGACTGCAGGGGAGAGTGGAACTTCTCCACTCCATTTCAGGCCAGGCTTTGTGCCCACACCATTCATTCTGTCATTGCAACCCACAAACAGTGGGGTGAAAATACCATGTGTTGACGCTACTCAAATGCGTAATTTCCCTCCCGACTATGGGAGAAAGAAAACAGCGCCAATGAAGGCCACTGTGGAGACGATACAGGAGGAGGATGGTGACGCGGAAGTCACCAGTGTTCCATACGATTATTACACATGGAAAAAATGCCCAATCTATGTCCAGGATCGTGTAGATGACATTGGCAGACAGCCCACCAAGGTCAGACCAATCTTCGCTGAGCATAGTCTCAGTGAATCCACTTTCGAGTTTAACACCCGTCTGGATATGGATGCGGCATTCGTATACAATGTGGGTCGTGGGGCAAATGGTGAAAACCCCAATAGACTGTCCCACGGCACAGCACTCAGATGGGTGCTGGATAATTACCACCGTTTGTCAGGGCAACCACACCTGACCATACAACCCCAGAACCACCTTCCCTGACCTCCCCCCACTTCCCTGATCCTCCCATCTTTACACACCTCTCACAACTACAGCCCGCATGCGAACCCGTGGGAAAAATCACGTGGGTCAAGGCAAGCAACTCGCCTTAACCCATGTGACACCTTTTCCGCATCGTGGGAACATGCTCAGCTTCCACCCTTAGTCATGTTATGAACTGTACAGTACATTTCCCTTTTATAGCAGCCAAGCGGGGAATAGGGAAACTTACCCTTCTTCTCAACTCAATCCCCGCTTAGTGATTTTGAGGAGCTTGGGGTAAGATCCAGCACCTGGCTGCCTGGGACACCGCAAGTGTCCAGCTCTGAGGTAGGGCCGTCCCTGGACAGAGGCCGGGCCCTGACACCATTTCTCACAACTGCCTGCAGCTCCAGAAGGGAGCAAGAGGTGTGTAGACCAAGTTAGGTCTAACTCAGGAAGAAGGCCCTGCCATCTGAGTGGGGATGGTGATGATGAGGATGGTGGCAAGGGTGGCTCGTCTTGGCCCAACCCACCATTCCTTGACCTAGTTGGCACCGAGATAAAATGGGAGCCTTCATCCAACTTTCCAAATCGCTCGTCTGTACGACCCTTGTTTGACTCAACCATGCATTCATACGCAGCACCTGTGGCATGAATAGTGCCTGACCCATCTGAGTTCATGGCTCAGCTTCTTGAATCTGCATGCCAAAGTGTAGAAGTTCGAATCCTGCAGCCACTGCCTGCAGATGTCCATCCAGAACTGCTCAAAAAGATGCAGGGACTAACTCCGACCATTAAATGGTCTGGAGAAAATAACTCAAAGATATTTCACAACTGGCTGCACTCCTGGCTAGCCTACATGTCATCGTGTGGGTGGAAGGGTGAAGCTTACAACGAGTTTCATGTCCACACTTTGACAACTGCTGTTGAAGGCGAGGCGCAAGACCTCCTAATGCACTATATACGCATTGGAGTGCAGAACGGGGTAACTCCCCCATTCTGGGATCTACTGGAGATCCTTATCTGCACCTTCATCAAGAAGTCTGCAGCAGTAGCGTCCATGAAAGCGTTCAAAACACTTTCATACAATTCCATGAAGGGAATCAAACACTTCTATAATCAGCTGTATCGTGCAGCTGAGATGATCACGCCGCCTGACCAGGAAATGTTCAATGAACGTTTCCTGAACGCCATCCCTGGCGAAATGCGTTGGGAGATGGTTATGCACCACAAAATTTCCGTGGATTACACAATGAAAGACGAGTTGTGGACTGCCATGCTCCACCTGGACCACGCATATGATTCTATTAAGGCAATCTCTGCATATCGTAACAACTCGCAGGTGCCAACTGCGTCGAAAATGATGCAAAAACAAAATACCAATACTGCAGCAGCAGCACCCAAAAAAGCTGCTGATTCCTCATCTGCCAAGAAAGTGTACAAAAACACATTTGGGGGGAACACATCAACTCAGAAGAGTGGGCAACGCTCGACATTCCGTGCAAGCTATTTGCCGGCTCCAAAAATGGAAAAGTCGACGTTGTCTACAAGGACGGAATCGACGCCATCCTTGGATAAGGATGGGAAACCATGTTGTTATAAATGCGGGAAAGTAGGGTATCAACATGATTGCCCAAATCACAACAAGCCCAAACCGCACATGTACAACATAGCGGTTGAGTCTGATGAGCGAGACCTACAGGACTCGGAGCCTGTAGAAGAATTGGAAGGTGTTGAAGATCCTGCAGAGGTGCAGGACTATATGGCCGATGATGAGGCATTCGATGATAAACTCATGGACGACCCGTATGACCCCAACCTCCTTGCTGAGGTGGAGGAGGAGTATGTAGAGGTGGATGCCGACATGTTCATCAGTGCTATGATGTTCGTGGACCCCATGGACGAAAATTTCTCCATTAAATTAGCATCTGCTCGGCAAGCAGACAAACTGCCATCTGATGAACAGATAGTGGCTGAGCTTGTTGACGATGCAGTAAAATCTTACAAAAGGGACGGCGTAGTACCGGTCCCTAAATCTTCATCCAACAAACTGTCAACGCAAAGTGTGACGAGTTCTTCAGTGCCTAATAGGCTTCTGAAGAAAATCCTGCCAATATTTGATGCAAAG